GAGAGAAAGCGAGCACGCGCCTAGCGTCGCGGACAGAGAAGACTGAGAACGAGAGAGAGAGGGGAGAAAAGTGAATTAGGAAGAGAGAAAGGTATAACGGCAATGTCTTTGTTTCTCCTACATGCCCCCCCCCCCTGATCCTCTATTTCATGCGCGACGGGGAGGGCGGTCGAAGGAGTCGCGCCACTAGCGACACGATGCTGGTGAAGGAGCGAGTCAGTAAGAGGTCCCCGCGATGGAAGCCGAGACAGAAAGAGGAAGACCATGGACAACGATCGTGGTGTTCTAAGCGAGTAACCATCTGCAGATGATCGAGCAGACCTGTTCGTCAATCGCTGATTGCTGTTCATACCGAGCAAGACTGTTGTCAACTCGCTGATTGGCTTTCAATCCGGAGCAAGACTGTTGTCAATCGCGATTGGTTTCAATACCGAGCCAGACTGTGTTCAAGCGCTGATTGGCCCCTTCAATCCGGAGCAGACTGTTGTCAAGCCGCTGATTGGCTATTCAATATCGAGGAAGACTGTTGTCAATCGCTATTGGCTTTTCAATATCGAGCAAGACTTTGTCAAGCGCTGATTCGCTCTTCATCGATAGTAGTATGACATGAATGGGCAGTTACCAGTTGAATCCCCTGCTCCCGTCATGAATGGTTGTGAGGGATCACTATAATAACTACGGTATCTAGTGATAGCAAGAGTGACGAGGTGCGACCAGCCAGGCTGTGCTTGCCCGGAAATACTGATTACAGCACCCATCGTTTTTCGTTCAGGTGTGGGTGCCTACCCCTCCCCTGCGTGCCGCTCAAGCAATACGCTCTCTCTGCTCTTTCTCTTTCTCTCTCTCTCTCTATCTGTCTCTCGCCCTCTCGTCTTTCTGCTCTCTCATCTCTCTCTTCGCATATCTACTCGTATCTAGCTATTATCTATCTATCTATCTACTCTATCTATCTATCTTCCTCTAATCTAATCTATCTATCCTATCATACTCTACTATCTATCTCCTCCCCGTCTTCCCTTCTCTCAATCTCTCTCTCTCTTCTCTCTCTCTCTCTTTCCCTCTCTCCTTTCCTCTCTCTCCCCCTCTCCCCCTCTCTTCTTCTCTCTCTCTCCCTCGCATCTCTCTTCCTCTCGCTCTCTCTCTCACTTTTCTCCCTCTCTTCTTTTCTCGCCTCTCTCTCTTCTCTCCCCACCTCTCTACTCTCCCTCCCTCTCCTCTTTCTCTCTCTCTCTCCCTCTTTTCCTCTCTCTCTCTCCCCTCCCTCTATCTTCTCTCTTCCTCTTTCTCTTTTCTCTACAGCCGGGAGCTTTTAGCGCTGCGCACACTAATGCCTGTTTAAGCTACAAACGCCACCGTCAGTACACCATCAGGCCGAAAGCTTTACACGATATACGATCTTCTGTCGGGCGATGCACCTTAAACTCTCTCTCTCTTTCTCTCTCTCTCTCTCTCTCTCCTCTCCTTCTCTCTCTCTCTTTCTCCATTCTCTCTCTCTCCTCGCTCTCCCTCTTTCTCATTCTCTCTCTCTCTCTTCTCTACTGCCCCTCCCTTCTCTCTCTCTCCCTCTCTCTCTCTCTCTCCCTCTCCTAACCTCTTGCCCTCTCTCTCTTTCCTCTCTCCCTCTCTCTCCCTCTCTCTCCCTCTTATTCTCTCCCTCTCTCCTCTCTCTCTCGTCCTCTCTCCTCGCGCCTCCCTTTTTCTCTCTCTTCCTTCTATATACAGTATTCTCTCTCCTGTGCTCTCTGTATTATTCTATTCGATTGTCTTTCTCTCTTCCCTCCTCTACCCTCGCTTTCGTCAACACACACTCTCTCTCTCTCTCTCTCTCCTCTCGTGCTCTTCTCTCTCTTTCTCTCCCTCTCTCTCTCCTCTCTCTTTCTCTCCTCTCTCTCCTCTCTCTCTCTCTTTCCGCTTCTCCTCATCGGTTCCTCTCCTCTTCTCTCCTCTCTCTCTCGCGGCTCTCCGGTCCTCCCGGTCTCTCTTTCTCACACGCTTTCTTCCCTTTTTGTTTCCCTCTCTCGTCCATTCTCTCTCTCTTCCTCGCCGGATCGCTCAATCGGATTAGTTATAGAAGAAGAAGGCGATGTCTGGGCTGATAATGTTGATGAAACGATGAGAGAAGGAGAGGCTAAAGAAAGCAAGATGGGGTGGAGGGAGGGAGGGAGTAGAGAATAGCGCGACGGGAAGGAGGAGTAGAGGAAGAAGAGAGGGAGATTGAGTGAGAAGAGGGAGAGAGACAGAAGGTAAAGCGAATGGTGGAGAAAGTGGGGGCGACGCGAAAAATTTGGTGATGATGCCGTGATCGGCGCGCGACGAGAGAGAGAGTAGCAGAGATAGGAGGGAGGAGAGAGCGAGAACCGAGCGAGGAGAAGGGGGAGATAACGAGAAAGTGATATAGAACAGTGAAGGACGAGGCAAGATTAGGAAATAAAAAGAGATAGAGAATGAGGGTAGAGTGATCCGATAGCAGCTTGGGGGGTACGACAAGTGTACAGCGCGGCGCGTCTTTCCTGCATAGTACCCTTCATTCATGCCGATATTATAACGCCACCAGTGCACACTGCCCGGAATGTTCGCGCTCAACAAAAGTCATCGCACTCTGTGGCTAGCTTCTATTTTCGTCACTCCTCTCACAGCACCTTCTGCCGTTTCCTTCGCCCCGTTGCTTCCAACCGTTTTGATCTCGTCTGCCTTCTGTTCCGTGTTCTCATCTGGTTTCTGTGTTTCCGTCTATGTCTCTGCTGTTCTGCTGACCGTCTTCGCGACGGCTCGCTTCCATCATCCGCTGCCGGCGCCTGAGAACGATGATGATGGCATTTAACGTTCTCGTACACAGCCAGAGAGAACTTTCGAGTCGCATTGACGACGGCTCACGCAGTTGTATCGACCTGACGTGTCCTTGACTGCTCCTTGGAGGATAGAGAGCACGGTGATGCGCGCTGGCCTGTGCTGCTGCTGTGCTGCCTGCTCCTTGGAACAACAGTTGCCTTTTGTGCTGCGGGTGTACCGATCAAAATGCGTCGAAAATGTGGGAAAAATGCCAAAATCTAAATGGGTCGAGAGAGGACGTTCGGATAACTACGCGAAAGAGCTCTATTACTGACGGGAAATTAGGAGAAATATTTTCTAAACGTAGTGGAACAACACATTTTCCTGGTCATGGAATGGCTATTACTCAAAGCCACAAAAAAATACGCCTAATCAACGTTAGCGATAAACGCTTACTAACACACAGGAAATTTATTACCTTTATCGTATCAACACACTTAAAACGATTTACGACAATCGCTACGATCACGCGATCGTATTATATAAATAAAGGTAAAACTATTATAAAGGTATGAATAATATTCTTAAACCGAACAACCATCATTCAGTGAGATTCCCACTACATCTTTTCGCCTATATTTTTGGCCTAAGTTACAAAGTTTCAAGATCCCACTGGCCCTTGCAAGTCATGCTGTTCCCGTTTACTACGGCACAGAAATAACTAGTTTGTCAGAGCATGGAAAACGAGCGATTATACGCTGGAGAGTGGAGAGAGGGGCTTGTATCTTAATATAATACCCATTATTGCGCCCACAACAGGTGTGTGTGTAGTGGTGTGTGGTGTGTGCTGTGTTTGGTGTGTCGCGTGTGTGTGCGTGTGCGCTGCGTGTGTTGCGCGCATTGGCGTGTACGTGCGCTGTAATTATGTGGCGTGCGTGTGGTGTCGTCGCGGCATGTGTGGTCCGTGTTGTGCGTAGCGTGTGTGCGCGCATTGCTGTAAGCGTGCGTTTAATTGGACTTGTGCGCTGCGCGTGTCGTGGCCTGTGTATCTAATACGTAATCACAATCTCTTCTGTGTGCGTGTGTCTGCGCGCGCGTGCACGCGTGCGTGCATGAGTGAGTGCGTGCGCGCCTGACGCGCCGCTGGGTGCGGGTGCGGGTGGGTGAGCAGACGAGAGCGAGCCGGACCGCCCCCCCCCCCGCGCGCCCGGTCACGTGACCCGCGCCATGTTTGCACGAGTCGCGTGTGCGTGACGGGGGGTTTTTTCAGTGATTATCGCTGCAATTTTCACCCCTACCCCCCACCTTCCACCTCCTGCTCTATCTGTTTAATTGACCGACGCAGCGTGGACTGGATAGAGACGGGAGGGATTTAGATGTACGACTCTGGGACTCTGGGACTTCGAGGCAGCAGTAGCTGCTGGTCGCACGCGCGCTCACACGTTATCGTCTGCGAGGACGAGGACGACAACGACGCCATCTAGCGTGCGTCGGTGTTTGTCGGTGGAGGTGCCAGGGAAGGTCGTGGTGTTAGTCCTCTGTCGTCATCGTTCATCGTCGTCGTCCTCTGTCGTCATCGTTCATCGTCGTCGTCCTCTAATGTTAGAGTCCATCGTCATCGCTCATTGTCGTCATCCACCATTGTCAGCACCCATCGTCAATTTATCATCATCATCGTCCATTATCGTCTATCATCGTCATCGTTCATCGTCAACGTCCATCACCGTCATCGTTCATCGTCAACGTCCATCATCGTCATCGTTCATCGTCAACGTCTATCAGCGTCATCGTTCATCGTCATCGTCCATCATCGTCATCGTTCGTTGCCATCGTTTATCGTCGATGTAAACATGCTGGATTAAAATAAAAAGAACTCGTGTTGAGTTGGTTCGCGTAACTCCGATATCACAGAACGCGACAATACACATAATGAGATATAATGAAGGCAGCTAGCATGCATACGTGAAGCAATTACTCACCAAGGTGACGTCAGCTGTTAGACTAACTCCTGTTCCTAAACGTTGCCGCGGTTGCCTTCTGTGAGTGTAGTGTTGTTATATGCAACGACTCGTAGTGTCAGTCTAGTTGTCTACCAATGAATACGATCGAGGCAGTTGGGTAGATATTGCGGGTGATGTAATAACTCATTGTTGTCATTTCATCTACGATGTCTTCACTCAAATTAAAGCTAGGGTTAGGGTTAGGGTAAGACTTAGGTTTAGGGTTGGAATTAAAGTTTCGGCTATGGGTAGAGTTATAATTAGGGTTGGAGTTTGTTTTGAGGATTAAGATAAGGGTTAGGGCTAGAATTAGGGTTGGTGCCGGCATTATGGCTAGGGTTAGGGTTAGGATTAGGGTTGGGGTCTGTATTATGGTCAGGGTTAGGGTTGAGGTTAGGATCAGACCTGGGGTTAGAATTATGATCAGGGTCTGTATTATGGTTATGGTTAGGGCTGGGGTTATGATTTGGGTTGGGGTGAGAATTATGATTAAGGTCTGTATTATGGCTAGGGCTAGGGTTGGGGTTAAGATTAGGATTAGGGTTAGTATTATGATTAGATTAAGGGTTAACAATAGCGTCAGGACGTCGGCGATATACGGGTGACGTCATTGTTTGTGTTCATGTGCGCATGCGCGTGAAGCAGACGCATCAGCAGGAAGGCGTTGACCTTGGTAGCGACGTCGAGATCAAATGGACGAGCCACCTGCTAGGCATCGACGATAAAGGACTGGCGCAAGCACTGACCACCAAGATCACGGTGAGTGACCAGTAGTGACCATTACTGCCCCACTTCCGCTACGCTGCATATCTCCCTAACAAGATATAATATGGCAACAGGATAACGGGATGACCGGATAACATGCTAACAGGATAACAGGATAACAGGATAAGAGGATAACGAGATACAATATTGACAGGATAACAGCTAGGTTAAAGGGTAACAGGATAACAGGTTAAAGGATAACAGGATAACAGGTTAAAAGATAACAAGATAACAGGTTAAAGGACCAATGTGTTACACGGGACGGGAGATTCGCCACCGCTAGGCAGCGCTAGTGTCTGTTTCGTTTCCTTTTGTGGTCATTTTCACTTCATGGGGACCCTGTAATTAAACTGCTTTAGATATATGCTAATGCGTTTAGCATATATACCAGCAGCTGGACACAATTTTTGTTTTTACGGGCGCGTACTTTTGTTGCGATATATGATTGGTATATATATATATATATATATATGACTCAGACCAGAACATGCATTTATTGGGTCATTTGATGCAATGTCCATTCAGTGCTACCTAATAACTAGCCTCCTAAAATACCAAGCAAGACAGATGTCAGCTGATGCCAACAATTATTACAGAAAATATATAGTCACCATTGTTTCTGCTATAGAATCTTCTCTACTTAAACTAACACATTAGATCACAGTACTTCATACACTGGTGAATGGTTAACCCAAAGGTGAATGAAACTATTGTGGGGAGAATTAAACCTACCAAAATCATAAGGAAGTTTAGCCGCGGGTGAAAGAAATTTTGTGATAAAGACTCGAGGGTGAATGACACTGAAAAGCACCGCATCAGAATACAGACGAATATACCCGCATTAACCTCGTAACAGGAAGCGAGAAACGAGAGAGTGATGACGTCATTCAACATCGACCAGGCATTGGATGCGCGTGACGCCATTGCTAAGGCGCTGTACGCGCGTCTTTTCTGCTGGCTCGTGAAACGCATCAACAGCATCACGGGCAAGGGAGACAAGAGAACGTCTATAGCCGTGCTGGACATTTTCGGCTTCGAGGTAACTATCATACAGCGCGACTGTACAATATATTTATGATTGTCTAACAGCATGTGATATCACACAGAGCATCGCCCTGAACAGGCAACGTACGCTGTAAGCGTGATGGGGGCTTCATCACGTGACCATTTCCTTTAGGATGTTATTTGATATACCAGAATGCCGTCGCGTGTCGAACAGTAATAGCAGGAGTAAATAATAATCGATATTACTATTATTCTATTATTAATCTATAATTATTCTATTGTTATTCTATTATTATTATTATTATTATTATTCTGTTATTATTCTATTATTATTATTATTATTATTATTCTATTATTATTATTATTATTATTATTATTATTATTCTATTATTATTATTATTATTATTATTATTATTATAATATTATTAAATCCTTATAATACATGATTGTGACGATTGTAATTAATAGCCTCAAGTGAGACGTTGCGTACGTGGCAATGATCAATGCATAGCATCGTATACAGGACATGTTAGTAATATTAGCTGTATCTGTGACAACATAAATGCTGCCTAGGGTGCGCATTGCATCCTGTGAGTCAATAGTTACGGAAATGAGGCACGCTGGAGCGACGATCGTCAGGATAATGGACTATTGCTCCTCGATGCCCAACACAAAGCCGCGACCTTGCTGGCACCGGGGAATAAAATAACGAGTCCACTTTGTTCATTGTGATATCACGGAATCGCGATGCGTGATTGCGACAAACGAGAATAATACACAACGAATTGGCATCTGGCAAAACGCCGAGTAATTTTTATAGAATACGTACTATCTAGATGCAACACGCGGTAAAAGTGAACACTTTAGTGTAATCTAGTAGGCGCAGCAACGAGTGAAAGAATGATCCCAGCGAAACACACAATGCCTTTGCAAAATACGTAGTGCCGAAACAAAACACGTATTGGCCTGACGTTTGGAAAACTGCGTAGCATGATAAACGCAATCCGACAAAACACAGTAATCTTCTACGCTGAAGTACTACGAGCAGTGAGCTAGCAATAACAGTTTCCCAGCTTTCCAATCTTCGTCGTCATCTCTCTATTGCTACCACGCGATCCTCTCTCACCGCTCCCTCCATGATCCCGCTGCCGACAACAACACCGACGCCGACGCTGACGCTGACGCTGACGCTGACGCCGACACCGACACCGACACCAACACCAACACCAACACCGACGCCGACGCCGACGCTGACGCTGACGCTGACGCCGACGCCGACGCCGACACCGACACCGACACCAACACCGACACCGACACCGACGCCGACACCGACACCGACACCAACACCGACACCGACGCCAACGCTGACGCTGACGTCGACGACGACACCGCCCACGTGACTGATTGCCGACGTTTTCTTTTCTCGCGCGACAGGACTTTGCCGAGAATAGCTTCGAACAGCTGTGTATCAACTACGCGAACGAGACACTGCAGTTCTACTTCAACAAGCACATCTTCCACATGGAGCAGCAGGAGTATGCGAGAGAGAAGATCGCCTGGCAGCCGATAGCATTCACAGATAACCAGGTGATGGAGGGAGAAGGGGAAGGGAGAAGGGAAGGGGAAGGGGATAGAAGAGAAAGGGGAGGAGGGGAAAGGGACGGAGACAGAGAGGGGAAGGGGAGAGAAGGGAATAGAGGGAGGGAAAGGGAGAGGGGGAAGGGAGAGAGAGGGGAAGGGGAGAGAGATGGGGAAGGGAAAGAGAGGGGAAAGGGAAGGAGGGGAAAGAGAAGCAGAGAGGAGGAAGGGACAGAGAAGGGAAGGGAGAGAGAGGGAACGGGGGAGAGAGAGGGGGAATGGGAGATAGGGTGGAAGGGGAAAGGGAAGGGAGAGAGGGGAATGTGAGAGATGGGAGAAGGGGGAAGGGGGGAAGAGGAGGAGCAGCATGGGGTGGCAAGACGCGATGAGGGAGAGAGAAGGGGAGAGAGCGGGGAAGGAGAGGAGAAGGGAAGGGGAAAAGGTGGGAAGGAAGAGAGGGGAAGGGAAGAGGGGGAAGGAAAGAGGCGGAAGGAGAGAGTGGGAAGGAGAGAAGGGGAAGGGAGAAAGGGGAAGGGAGGAGGGGAAAGGGAAGAAGAGAGGAAGAGAGAGAGAGGGGGACGGGGAGAAAGGGGGAAGGGGAGAGATGGGAAAGGAAGGAGGGGGAGGGAAGAGAAGGGGAAGAGGAAAGAAGGGGAAAGGAAGAGAGGGGAGAGAGAAGAGGGGAGGGGAAGAGAGGGGAAGGGGAGAGAGGGGGAAGGAAAGAGAGGAATGGGGAAGAAAGGAAAAAGGAAGAGAGGAGAAAGGGAAAGAGGGGAAGGGGGGAGAGAGGGGAAAGAGAGAGGAGGGGAAGGGAAGGAGGGGAGCAATGGAGGCGGGGCAGAAGCGCGAATGAGGATAAGAAGAGGGAAGAGAGAGGAGAAGGGGAGAGAAGAGGGAAGAGGAGAAGGGGAAGGAAAGAAGAGGGGGAAGGGGAGCGAGGGGAAGGGGAAGAGGGGGAAGGAGAGAGCGGCGAAGGGGAGAAAGGGAAAGAGGAGAGAGGGGAAGGGGAAGAGGGGGAAGGGGCGAGAGCGGACAGGGAGAGAGGGGAAAGAGGAAGAGGGGAGGGGAGGGAGGGGGAGCAATGGAGCGGGGCAGAGACGCGAATGAGGGATAGAGGGAAGAGTAGGAGCGATGGCGGGCAGAGCGCAAAATGAGGGAGAGGATAAGGGAGAGTCAGAGAGACAACTGAGAATAAGATGTGGAGAAGGTGAAGAGGGACAGACAGAGAGGGGTGGCAAAAGGGGGAGATAAGGGAGAGAAGGAGGGATGTGGGAGGAGAAGACTCGAGAAGACGCGGTGAGAGAGGAGAGAGAGAGAGGGGAGACGAGAGGGAGAGAGATACAGAACTGAGAGGCAAGCGCAAGAGAGAATAAAATATCGGAAAGAGTGTACAATAGAAGAAGCATAGAAAAGCAAAAAAGAGAGAGGTGAGAAATTACGAGAAGGAGGAGAGAGAAAGATGCTGAGAATGTGGTGACACAAAGAGATTGCATGCTAGCAAGCGAACAAGCAGAAGCGAGCGAGAGAGAGAGGAGAAAGAGAGAGAGGAGAGAGAGAGAGAGAGAGAGAGAGAGAGAGAGAGAGAGAGAGAGAGAGAGAGAGACAGGTGGGTGAGTGAAAGAATCTATAATGATATTAACATGCGTTTCATGCTGACTAATATAATAACCTTCTCGCAATGATGATTTATTAACGTGACAAGAGTGCTTCTGTTCTAGCTTGCATCGACCTCATCGCAAAGAACCTATCGGATCTTACACATACTCGACGATGAAAGTAACTTCCCTAAGGTAAGTGAAACGCTGACATTCTACCGACGATCGATCGTGACTTTTTTTTCTGTCCAGATTGAGTGCATCGGCCTGCAACGACACGCAAGCGATGTTACGGATGAATATTGTATGTGCGAGGAAAAAACAAAAGAGGATTAGCGGATGAAATGATAAGGATATGCTTAAAATTTCACGACGGCGCCATTCGCGTACAGGATTTCTCTTCGTCCCGCCTAATGCTGTTCCTACGTTTCTTCATTTGCCGCCATTTTAGAGCTACTATTTCTTTTGTCATAAAATGCCTAAATATTTCACACACGACCGCATGATGGGAATTCGTTTGCGACATCCTAAGATGGACGCGCATGTTATTTTAATCGTCTTGTCTCTCATTTCTGTCCCAATTTCTTCTCCGTGTGGAAGCGATTAATCGAACGACGCTGTTATTATTTTGCGATATCCGTTGAAAAAAAAAATTCTCTCTTGGTTATCACGCGCGTTGTCGCGCGGTCTGTCATCAATCGTCGACCGAGATCCTGCTCTTGATTACGACATTCTCTATTGTTCGTTGTGATTTATTACGGTTGGTCTACAATGCATTTATCGACCACCGTTGTGTGCTTCGTCAGCAACGAACGTCAGCTTTCTGGAGAAGTGTCACTTCAACCATAGCACGACGGATCTGTACAGTAGGCCCCGCATGTCGGCACCGGAGTTTGCCGTAAGCATTACGCTTGGCAACGTCTGGTACAACGTACGTACACTCGTAATACATGAACGGCGTCACTCTCAACGTAAACGCCTCGCCTAATATCTGATTTATATCTACAAATATTTCCTTTGTTCTTTTTTATGTCATTATTCGTTTACACGCGTTAATCGTTGCCCGGTGAGTATTACGGGCAAATTTTTTTCGTAATTTCGTGAAATAGTTGTACTATTCTACTCTAGCAAATTCATTTGATCTTTTTATCATATTCGAAGAATAGTCGTAATATTCGGGTATATATCGTAATTTCATAAAATTGTTGTAAATATTACGAGAATGAAATGGCGACTAAACGGTTAAAAATCCGATGATGACGACGAGTACGACGATGATGATGATGATGATGATGATGATGATGACGCGATGGATGATGATTGATGATGATGAGCGTTAACGGAAAACGGCGACCGTGATGCGCGATGGATGACGATGGTGATGATGCACAGCAACGACGATGACGATTGTGTTGACGATGTCGCTCTTTTCCACAGGTTGACGGATTTCTAGACAAGAACAGAGACACACTGAGACTGGACGTCGTTGATTTACTCATCGGCAGTAAACCCGTACGTAGCTCATATAATTCATCTTCTCTGTAACTGCTAGATCGTAGGTTCGTCTCAAGAGTTAACTCTCTTCTTCCTGCATGCAAAGGTTGATCAGAACTTTGACGAAGAATCTTGTTGGATAAACAAGCGAAACATAACCAGCGAACATTCATCATCTCATCAAATTCAATCAAATCAATCGATCAATGATTTTACCCCCGTTTTATTATCATTTTTTTACCCATTGAATCCTATCTATAAATTATGTGTATTATATACAAGATCAGTGGTTCTCTCTGTTATGCAATAGAGTGAGCCTCGAGGGGTGTGAGCATCGCGTGGCTTATAAATGTTAGTCATAAGAGTGACCGTCAGGGGTCGCGTGATCCGCGTGGTTCCGCCTGTTAGTTTAATAGAGTGACCTATGATGGCGCTAGAGTAACATCGGCTTGTGTGTATATTTGGCAGCTGATATCGAAGCTGTTTAAGAAGTGGAAAGACGAGGAGGAATGCACAAGACCGTTAGTGACGCGAACGGCCCCGCCACGTGGCGCTGAAGCCGCGGTACACACGACGGTGGCCAGCACGCTTCCATGAAAGCCTGCTGAAGCTGGATCGATACCATGTCCAAGTAAGCCACACTCAGCTGCAGAAGATGGGGAGAGAGAGGGAGAGAGGAGAGAGAGAGGAGAGAGAGGGGAGAGAGGAGGAATAGGGGGCGACGCAGGAAGGATGAGAGAGAGAGAGTGTGTTGTGTGTGTGTGTGTGTGTGTGGGTGGGTATGTGTGTGTGTGTGTGATGTGGTGGTGTTGTGTGTATGTGTGTGTGTTGTATCTGGTGTAGTGGTGTCGTGTGTCGTGCACTGTCCTGTGATGTGTGTGGCGTGTGTGTGTGGTGGTGTGTTGTGTGTGTGTTGTAGTGTGGTTGTCGGGGGTTGTTGTGCTGTGTGTGTGTGGTGTGTGTGTGTGCTGTGTGCTGGTGTGGTGTGGTGGTGTGTGGTGTGGTTGGTGTGTGTGCGCGTGTGTGTATGTGTGTGTGTGCGGCGCGAATAGCCGCAGTGTGCTGTGTGTCTGGTGGTTGTGTGTGTGTGTGTGTTTGCATGTGTCGTGATCCGATCACGTGCGCGGGCGCAGAAA